GCGCATCTTGCGCGCGCGGCACTCAGCCTTGGCGGCCAAGCGCAGTCAATGTCTCTCACGCAGACGCGCGCGCTACATACGCGCACGCATGTCAAGACACAAGGGCTATTCCCACACAACGGGGTAGAGCATCGGCAGATTCAGCGCGAGCCTCGCGAGACCCTGAGCGACGCGAGCCTTGAAGTCGAAGCTGTTCGCCCCATCCGCGTTGCTCTGTAGACCCTCGCGAGCCCCTGGCATGCTAGGCCCGGGCGTGCGCTGCCGACTGGGTGGCCTTGCGCATGAAGGGCCGCGCGCGCGCGCCTGGCGCGGACGCGGAAGTGCGACGTTGCGTGGAAGGTGCGCGTCGCCCTCCCAGGGCCCCCGAGCCGCGCGGCAGCCGGCGCCGCCGCGGTCGCCGCGCACCTCATCGGATGAGCAGCAGGGCCGCACAGCGATGCGAAAGTGATGTGGAGAGGGATGGGGCAGGATTGTGTTCTCTCTGTCAGTTCCACGCCACCGCCCTCGCAGTCGCGCGCGCCGGCGCTGTGCGCCGGGCTGTGTCTGATACGCATTCCCCGTTGCTAGTTCAGCCCAGCTTGAGCACGGACCTGCAACCTGCGAGCGCGAGTTCGGATCCTGGGCAACTCGCGCGAGCCGACGGTCATGCCGCCACGATCACGGACCGCTCTCGTGCAGAATCTTCCTCGTGCCACCTTTTCTTTGGCCTCGAGGCGGCCGGGTCATCACTGGGGCGCGGAGCGCGTGGAAGCGGCAAGTGCGTCTCATGCGCGGCGCGCGGCACGGCGCGTCTCGCGGCGCCGGATGGGCACAGGGGCAAGCAACGAGCCCCCCCCTCTTACCCGCCGACAACGAACCTGCCCGCGGCCGGCCGCGACCACCCAGCCGGTCGAAATCGGGAGCTGCATATTCGCGCGGCTCTGGCGCCGAGCGCGTGCCGGACGGCCCCGAGGCGCGAGCCGCGCGCGCGTCGCGGCCCCAGCGAGAGCCGCGCCGCGCCGCTTCGCCGCCGCTCTGCGCCTGGACTCAGCGCTGCCGCGCAGCGCGGCCAGGAACGCCGGGGCTGCCACTAAGTCGGGCGTGTGACTCTACGGGGGGAATATTCAAATATAGTCACAAACATTGTTGGAGTGCTTTTGAAATGATACCAGAGAAAACCAATCATCATCTTTTTAGGGCTGTAGGGCTACAGGGTTATATGGGCTCTTGGGCGCTATATGGGCTATATGGGTTATAGGGCTATAGGGCGATAGGGATATAGGGCTATAAGGCTATAGGGCTACAGGGCACCGGGCTCCCAGGCTCGGGGCACCTGGGCACCCGGGCATCCGGGCACCCGGGCATCCGGGCACCCGGGCCCGGCCACCGAATCGGCGGCGAACCCGGGCACCCGGGCACCCGGGCACCCGGGCACCCGGGCCCGGCCACCGAATCGGCGGCGAACCCGGGCACCCGGGCACCCGGGCACCCGGGCCCGGCCACCGAATCGGCGGCACATCTCACCTACCCTTAGATCCGCTAGGACCCTTACAGAGGCAAGCTCTGATTGGGGAATTTCGCAAACAATCCCCCGTGTAGGGGGACGCGCCCGACCTAAGACTACCGGGCATGCATCCACGCGCGCGCGCGTGCAGAACGCGATATGCGGGGAGACGTCGCGAACGACTTCTGCCTGGGCATCTGCCGCGAGGGCGAGAAGACTATCGGCCGCGCGCCCCCGATTGAGCGCGCCGTGGCAATTTCTGGACAGGGCCATGGCGCGGCCCTCGCGGTCGCCACGGGCCAGCTGGATGCCGCCATTTAGATCTTGAACGAAGATCGCCGAAGCGATGTCCGGCGACCAGCGCCGCGGTCGCGGCCAGGGAGGCCGCCGCGTGCGCCGAGGAGAGTTGTCCGACTTCCAGGCCCGCTCCCCTGCCCTTCCGGCAGCCGCCCCGCCAAGCGAGTTTCGGGGCGCCAGACTTGTCCCGAGCGGTTGCCGGGTCCCGAGCCATGATGGGCCCTTGCAATGACAGATGGACACTGGGCTGCGTCGCCTCGCCCTGGACGCGGACGCGTCGGCAATCAGCCGCAACGCGCGCATCGCCCACCTCGCGGACAGGCGGCAGCCTGCGCGTATTCCGCGGCCCGGACGGCCTCAACGAGCTTGGGCATTTGGGCATTGCTACGCTCGCCTCTACTGGACAGGCTTCGGTTTCCACGCCGACGTCGTGGAGGCTCACATCTCGTCCGCTTTGATGCTCTACAGGGAAGCGGGCCAGCCGTGCAGCTAGGACATTTCGACTAGCTACACCAGCGTGCCCAGCAAGCGCAGCATCGCGATCTTGAACAGCACTCTGCCGACCCTCGTGAGCGTCCACGTCTTCCAGTTCTGCTGTGACGTCGCGCAATTGCGTGAGCCCGCGCCCGCCGCCGCACCTGCTCCAGCGCGCCATCTCTCAGACGGGGAGGGGCTCCAACTCCTACGACACGGCGCACGTCAGCACCATGGCGCTGGACCGGGACCTCCGCTGCGGGGGTCAGGGCGCTTGCCGCGTGTGCGTCCAGCGGCGCAGCGACAGGCCCAGCCAGAAAATGCTCCGCCGTGAGATCGCCTCTGCTCGCGCGATGCGGACCTGCTTCAGCAGCGACTCGCCGACTGACCCCTGGAACCCGGTAGCATCCGGGGGGCGCCATGGGCGAGGACCTCTCGGATCTCAGCGCCACGACGGCGAGCGCCGGCGAGGGCCGGGCGGCCCCGCGCGAGGCCGAGTCGATCGCGCGCGAAGCAGAACGTCGTGGTGCTGGAGCAGTCTCGCACCGATTTCCCTTGCCGACGCGAGCTGCATCTGGGAGAGCATCAATAACGAGCGGGTGCGAATGACAACGGGCCACGAAGCGTTGGTGGCCAGCCAGAACGCCAGGCCCAAGGTCGTCGCGGACACCGCGAAGATCCTGGTGGGCACCACCCCCAAGGCCGTGACACAGAGCTACAGCTTCATGCAACTTTCACGTCACGTCTCGCTGGTGCTGACGTCCACGAACCTGGATTTCTGGGGGGGCCGAGCTCCGTTCGGGAAGCGGAGGCCATCACCTTGGTGCAGCAGTTGGCCAGCATGTGCCGCGCCTTGGAGCTCGCGCCGCTCGCGTCGCGCACGCAGGCGGCGATGCGTTGCGCCGCCGCTGCCGACGAGGACCCTTTCGTGCAAGCTGAGATCCTGAAGCCTCCAGGTCTGCCGAGGATGGGCCTGGCGCGCTAGTGCGGCTCCAATGCGCGGCGGCGCCAGGCCCTGGGGGCTATTCCACGCGGCGCGGCGCTGCGCAGCGCGCGCCAGCGTGCGCGCTGCCTGCGCGCCACCTGCAAAAGCGCACGCGCGCGGGCGGGGGCGCGCCAGCGCGTCGACGCGCGCGCGGCCGCGCCGTTCCTAGGGCCAGCTCTCCACCGCGCGGCCGCCAGCAGCGCGGATCACGGCGCGCCTGCAAATGATACGTAGGCGGAGAACGCGTGTGCCCCCGCTTGGCAGCGTCTTCTCCTGAGCGAGACGTGCAGCATGGGCGCGCGCGCGCGCGTCTTGGCGGCCGCCGCCGCGCGGCGACGGGCTCGCGCACTTCGGTGCCAGACGCGCCGTCTGCAGGGCGCATGGCACTTGCGCTGCGACGAGCGCCGAGAGGGCAACCGCGCCACGTGCCCATAACAGATGGCGTTTGACGCGATCGCCGTCGAGAAGCTGTTCACCACCACCAATGGCCGGCAAGCCGCGTCGATTGCGAGGGGTTTCTCGTCTCGCAACAGGCTGCCGCAAGGTAGGCAACAGCGCGAACGTCTCGTCGCGAAGCTCTGGCGACCCGCGGACATTCCGCGGGGGCCACGTGCAGGCGCCTGGCTTCGGCTCTTCAGCACCGCCTGCGCTACGAGGCGCCGGCGCGGCAGCGGGCCATTGCAGAGGTCAGCGTTGCGCTACCGCCCGCGCCTGCCTCCTTACAAACCAGTCGGCATGCGTCGCGGCGGCTTGGCGCGCTGGCTGCGCTGCGCTGCCGACGGAAGGCGCGCGACGTCGGATGCGATAGTGGCCGCCGACGCCCATGCACATCGAAGACAAGCAGTGCTGGGACGCTTGCGAACAGCTGCCGTAGGCACTTGCGACACTGCGCCACTGTTGGATACAGCCAGTCAGCGCGCGCGCCGCGCTGGTGCGCTCGGCCTTCGCCGGGCCAAAGCTACGCCCAGTCGTCGGCCGTGATTGGCATGCACCAGCAACTAGAAACACACTGCCGCAAAGTGCTGGACGAAGCGCGTGTTCGCGCCCACGAAGCAATGCGCGCGAGTGCTCTCCAACCGCGCTGCAGCGCAAGCGCCGCCACGGCCGGCCACGTCCGCTGGCGCCTACTCACCAAGGGGCGCCGAAGGCGAGCGGCTTCGCCAGCGGCGTGCAGGATGCAGAGCCAGGGAGCGGACCTGGCTGGAAGGCGCGATCAGTGCCGCGGCGTGAGCGCACGCCGGGCACCCGCGAGCAGTGCCCTGCTCCTGGCTGCTCCGCACCACAGGAGCCAGAGCGAGGAGTTTGTTTCTGAACTCTCCCTGCTGCAGGGTGCCGTAACGATCGAGCGACCCTGGTCACAGGTAGTGGATCACACATGCGCAGGCCATGGGCGAGCATGCGTTGCTGTCCAGGGTTCGCGATGTTCCGTCCAGGCTTAGGCTCCTGAGCCATGGGTGAGCCGTGCCGAGCGTTCACTGCTGCTGCTGCTTGCGGTGAATGCTCTGGCAGATAATCTCGGGCGGCCCTCTGTGGCTTGGGTGCTGCGGAAGGACATTGTTAATTGCCCGGCAGCCCCGATTCGAATAGGAGCATGCGCGCGCAACCGCTGCCATTATTGTTCCAGCGCGCACACGACAGAAGATGCGCAACGGCTGTGGAAAAGGATCCTGCGCTTTGTTATCTCTCATGCTAGACTTGCCACCATGTCTTTCACCGCTGCCACCCTCAATTCCTGCCCCTCCTCCTCCTTCCATCCACGAGGAGGCCTTGCAGTCGGGCGAGGCGCTCTGTGACCTGGTCAACGCCGTTTGGCCGGGGCAGATCGTCGGCACGGTGCGTGGCGAGGCCCAGGGCGGGCGCCGGCTGCTCAACATCACGCGTTTCGTGCAGGCGTGCCCGCGGCTCGGCGTGAGGACGGAGGACTTCGGCATCGTCTGCCCGATCCCTGCGGTAATTCGGGTCGCGTCGTGTCGACGGGCGGCCCCGCCGCCGGCGTCCAACGATGAACGCCGCCGGCGACCCGGCATCGGTGGACGTTGAACGGTCCGACGTGTCGGAAACGGCCGATCTTTCCAGGTTGAACGATCCCCGCGGTGACAGGAATGAGCGCTGGAGTCGCCACGACACGAACCTGTTGTTGGTCACCCGCGGGGGCGCGAAGACAGCGCGCCTCGCGCGTCGCAGCCTGGGCCAGACAAGCGCCCTTCTCCAGGGCGGCGGCGCGAGCGCGCGAACATAACCGCACATCGTGGGGCGCGATGTTCGGAATCGGGCAAGTGAGGATTCGCATCCCCGTTGGGCCAGTGTATCTTAGGCACACCAGCCCACTTCCTGGGTGGGGAAGCGCCACGCGAAACCCGAGAGGAACAGCAGCATATAGAATCCTGGGTCGAGGGTTCATCTCCCCCCCAGGTGGGAGGGGGGGGTGGGGACGCCGACGCCGCCGCCGCCAACGACGACGACGACGAACACGACGACGACGACGACGACACGACGACGGTGACGACGACGACGACGACGACGACGACGACGACGACGACGACGACGATAACGATGGTACCACAGCACCACCCCGCACCCACACGGGGGGGGGGGGCACTTGGCAGGCACTCCCCACCACTCCGCGCCCACAGGGGGCGCACCCACCGCGCGGAAGGGGCGATGGGGGCCGAGTGAATCAGCATGACGGGGGGTGGGGGCCTAGAACCCTGGGTCATATATTGCCAACTAGCTGGTTGGTAAGTCGGCCAGTGGGGCCAAGGCCTCGGTAGTGTGAACAGTGATCGGCCAACCGATGCTCAGGACCTGTTCGCGCCTCCAGACCTGGCGGAGGGCAAGAACCTCAGGAGAGCCGGGCGCCAGCGCGGCGAGGGTGGGGCGGTGACGGCGGGTATTTGTTCGAAGACGGCGCCTGCGGAACCGAGCG